TTAAAATATTCACTTTCTTTTGTTCAATTCTAAATTCTGGGGAACAATCTTTGATCATTTAATTACATATATAATATATGTTTAATTTAATTTAATACATATATAATAAAATTTGATCATTTTAATTACATTTATCCATCTATTTAACATTTTTGTTCTTTTGTTATATTTTTATTAATTCGTTTCGAGAATTTACAGATTTCGATAATAAAAATCAAACTAACTAGACATTTCAATCGAGACATTAATCCAATTCTGTAATTGTGTATTGTTCTTTAATAAAATTCTAGAATAACTTTTTAAACAATTCTCGTTAAAACTTTCTTCCTTCTCGGCGTTTAAAATTTTTAATTGACTTTACGGAAAATAAGATGAACAATTAAAGATGATACACAACGAAATATTATGATTTCAAACGAAAGCGAAAGTTTACCTCTATACTTTTTATTTTCATTTACGAGAAATGATTATAATCATTCATTATACACACGACAAGCGGAAGATAGGAATCATGCGAGTTGAGCAACCGTTTCTACGTTTATGCGGGGATTTTATCTCTACCCTGCGTATTATAGTAATCGAAAAAGAATATTCTTTTTTTTTTTTTTTCTTTTAAATGAATCCAATTTTATTTATTATAATTTTATTCATTTGCGAAATGAGTCGAAATAAAAATTTGACAAATTTTACTACTCTCGTTCGTCTTATATTTTGAAAAATCGCGCTATTCGATATATAAAAAAAAAGAAGACAAAAAATTGTTCATCTCTTTTCTCCAACATTTTAGGACCACTTTTTCTCACTCGAGTGGAATTTAAATATCTTCTTTGAGTCATAACGCTATTTTTTTTTACATTAAGTCATACATTCATCTGTAAGTTAACGATACTTTACGACAATATTTTTGTATTTAACGATTCGTTTATCGTAGTATCATTCAAGGTTGTTTCTACATACTTACTTAGGAACGCTCTTTCAAACCTTTATACGTTTATGTTGGATCTACAGTATCGAACAAAAGTATTGCAACAAACAAAATTATCCTTATAACCTTATGTAAGTCTTTGTTAAAAGTACAATTGTTTTTTTTTTTTATAATTTATTGCAAAAATAAATATCTCTTCAGTTGATAATTGAAAGGTGGATAGAGAGATGAAATGAATTTACGATAAAAAAAAAATATTAATGAAAAATGTTAGAAAGGTTCAATATTAGTGTTAAAAATAATTATTAATTTATAAACACATTTATTTTATATTTATTGTCAGTATACATTTAAACTTTAAATTCGTTGATAGATGAAAATTAAACAAACAAATCGTATCTATTAAAAAATGTACTATTAACGATAATTACAGACGAATTTTTTAGTTTATGCCAATACTTTTGTCTGACACTGTATATACTATACATTTTTGTATATATATAGTATTTCCTTTCCTTATCTATGATGTTAAAAAACTCTCTTCGGTTTCACGCTAGATTCGTTCTATCTTACCAACAACGTCAAATCTCTTTGATTCCAACTTTATTTCCGCTCGAATAACGAAATCAAAATCTCTTTTCTAGAGGGAATTCTTTCGCGACGAAAGCAATGGCTTTTCTATCTCAAAGTTAGATACTTTTACGTAGTAAATACTATGTCGACTGTATCGATACCGTGAAAATACGATACAAATGCACAGGAGAGCAAAAAAATAACGAGTTTTCTCGGGGGCAGGTAATGACCTGACGCTTTCTAGAATCCGATTGAAAAAGTCGCATTTTCGTAATTTTCTTTTTTTTTTTTTTCATTTTTTATTTTAATTATACCAAATGTCATCGAGTATGCTACAATTTTAATCTATTTTAAAAGTATTTGTTACTTGTATATTTGTTTATAACATAAAGATATTTTCTCTCATAATTATTTAAATAGATTTTCTTAATCGCAGATCATCATCAAATTTATCTAACGAAAAGATTATGTAAAATTATTTGAAAGGAATCGTTAATAAATCGATCTTTTTTTAATTTTATCCATTTAAAATATATTTTTTTGGATGGATGATTTATATCGAAAATAATTACTTTTTGTTTATTTTTTAAATTTGTCGTCGTAAGTTGGGAAGATTTTTTCACTTAACCTATAAAACCATTTCATATTAGATTAAATAGAAAATAAGAAAAAAAAAAAAGAATTAAACGATATCAATATTTCTATATAAATATAATTAAATATTTTATTCGACATAAGAAAAGTACTTTCGTAAGATCTTACATTAGTAGTTGATCATTACGATGGACGGATAGTTAAACGTTCGTTACATTTACAACATTACACGAGGAGAACTCTACTCGAGTAGTCAATATGGCGGACGCCCGGTAAAACATTTGGCGCGAATTGAGGTACATTCAAAAAGGAAAAAAGAAAAAAAGAGAAAAATAGAGAGAGAGAGAGAGAGAGAGAGAGAGAGAGAGAGAGAGAGAGAGAGAGAGATGGGAGATAGAACAAATTAAAAAAGTATGTAATGTTTTTTCTTACAGGACATTGCGCACTGTGTGAATAAAATTAAATAAACAATATATCTTAATTAATCATCTACAAATAATAATTTCCGTTTCTAATCGTAATGATTGTAATATGCTGGCGATGATACGTATTTAGCGATTGGTACGGGTTTTGGATGAATAGCTGGTCCAACCTTTTTAACTATAGCATTGAATCCGTTATGATCGTCAGCAGTATACTCGACGATTCTTACGCTTCCATCGGGCTCGTTGACGCTGTAAGAACCGTGAACTACATCACCGTCACGGACTTCGTGTTGGGTCTTTACATCACCAGTGTGCGGATCGTGTACACCATAGTTGAAGGTGTATTTAGGGTGCGACTGAAACGAAACGTGTTTGCGTAAGATCAATGTTGTTGCACTGGGTGCGCCCCAACCGGCTTCGAAGATCAAACGATCAACTTTTATTGGCTTTTTTTTGTTTATCATTTTAGGCTTGTATCTTTTATAAACACAGACTTTTCACAAATAATAACATTTCATTGATACAATATTTAATTTGATTTTTTATCTCATTATTTATTCTAATAATAATATATGAAATATAAATAAATCTCATTTATCATGGATTTAAATTAATTATGATTAATTTATTTTTGGTCAAATGAACGATTAATTGTATTATAATTAATTGATCCGACACGAGTATTAAGATTCAACCTCGAACTTCGTAATTTTATAATTTCAACATTCACCTTATTTAGTTGATCTAATCATTTAAGTGAGATTTAATACAATGAGATATACGTATGAATTTAAAAAAAAAAAAAAAGAATAAAACGAATGAATGAAAATGTCGTGGGAAAAAGTTTCAACGTGATATTTTCAATGTGTGCATGTGTCTAACAAAGTTCGTAACTAAAAAGCCAAGCAAGGAAGCATCTCGGCTTGTTGTTGTTGTCGTTGTTGTCGTTATTACTCTCGTGAAACTATAGTAAGTTCGTTCGGTAACGTTCGCCAACGATATTTCGCTACTGGTATTCAATTAACATCGCGAGAAAGCGACGACAATGGGCGTCGCGAAACGTCGTCGACGTTAGAAATGAGATGCAGCACGGAAAAAGAGGAGTTACAAAACAAGATAACAGTCAACCTGCCTAGTCTCTTTTTCTTTTCTTTCTTTTTACGTGTGTGAGTTCTTATGGTGACACACAGTCGAGTCTCTATTTAACATATGTGAAAACAGCGTGCGTTTTAAAAAGAA